ACTAAGAGTTTATGTTAAGTCACAACACACAGCCAGCACTAGGTCTTGTTGCATTCTGGTGTCTTTATTCCAATATCAGTAAGCTTTGCAGCTCTACAGTGTCTGCTGGAATTTTGCCCACAGGGAGGCTGTATAGCTTCTACCAAATGCTCTCCAAGAAGGGGAACCACTTTTCTCCATGTGGCACATGGACCCCTCAGACCATGCTGCCTCTTCCTGGGGAATGGCCCTTCTTCCTCACTGGAGCTCCAAAACTTTAGACTCTGTGCTCCACTGTTTATAGAATTCTGGCAGTATTGAAGCTCTCTCCTTTCTCATCAATGGTTTTGAGGAACAGATTTCTTGTCCAGTCCCCTGTGTTTTCACCCTCTCTCTCTCTCTCTCTGTCTCTCTGTCTCTGTCTCTCTCTCTCTCTCCAGCTATTTTAGGGGACAGTGCTTCTTTTCGTGCACTTCCCTCCTTTCTCTTTCTCAGTCTTCTCTCTATGAAAATGGCTCCCTACCCTCAGCAGCTCCATGACTTTTCTCTCCCCCGATTCACTTCTCCACACTGCATACCTGCCAAGTTCTCTGGCTCAAATTATACAGATTGTTGCATTAATCCTCAGATCAATTACCTAGGTGTTCAAAATGTCTTGATGCTGATCTAGCTGCATTTCAGGGACAAGACAAGCTCAGGATCCCCATACTACTCTGCCATCTTAATTCCTCTCCTATTTTGAACTATTTCTTTTTTTTTTAATGTTTTTTTAATGTTTTATTTTTGAGAGAGCATGTGTGAGTAGGGGAGGGTCAGAAAGAGAGGGAGACACAGAATCTGAAGCAGGCTCCAGGCTCTGAGCTAGCTATCAGCACAGAGCCCGATGCAAGGCTCGAACCCACGAACCATGAGATCATGACCTGAACTGAAGTCAGACGCTTAGCCAACTGAGCCACCCAGGCGCCCATGAATTATTTCTATAAATATAGAAAGGTATTAGATAATCCTCAATGGAAGACTAAACCCACTTCTAGATAACCTGTGGGTCAAAAAGAAGTCCTCACGGAAATTAGAAAATATTTCTCATTGAATGAAAACAAAACTGTAAATTTTAAAATCTGTGGGGTGTGGTTAAAATGGTACTTAGGGGAAACTTTATTACAGTGAACGCTTGTATTAGAAAAAAGGAAAAGACTAAAATCAGTAATCTCAGCTTGCATCTTAAGAAACTAGAGGGGGAAAAAAGCAAATGAAAACCAAATCTTACAGAAGCAAGGTAATAATAAAGACAGGAGCAGAAATCAAGGAATTTGAAAACAGAAAAACAGAAAATGAATGTAAAAGCTAGTTATTTAAAAAGATGGATAAAACTGATATAGCTCTAGTCACACTAACCAAGAATAAAAGTAAAAGATAAAAATGACCACTATTAGGAATGAGAGAGGAGCTATCACTACTGACCCTGCAGACATTAATATTATAATAATGGAGTACTTCAAATGACTCTATGCCCATAAATTCAACATATTTGAAATGGACTAATTCCTTGAAAGACAAATTACCAAAACTCCTTCAAAGGTAACCGAAATAGTTTTCATTCTACTCAAAAACTTGAATTCAAACGTCAAAACTCTCCAACAAGGAAAACTCCAGGCCCATGTGAGTTCACTGAAGAATTTTACCAAATATTTAAGTAAGAAATAATACCAATCCTACAAACCCCTTTTAGAAAACAGAGACAAGGAAACACTTCCCAATTCATTTTATGAGGCCAGTATTACCCCTGAACTAAAACCAGACAAAGACATTACAAGAGAAAACTACAGACCAATAACCTCATGAACACTGATGTAAAACTCTTCAACAAAATAGTTGGCCAACTGAACCCAGGAATACATAAAGAATTGGCATTAATCTGAGGAATATAAGACTGTTCAAAATTCGAAAACTGCTCTATGTGTTTCACGCTATTAAAGGACTAAAAAAAGAAAAGTGTGAATCATCTCAATAGATACAGAAAAATCAATCAATAAAATTCAGTGCCTCTTAATGATAAAAAAAGTTCAGAAAACTAGTAATAAAAAAGAACTTCCTTAATTGATAAAAGACATCTACAAAAAAAACCTTACAGCTAACATCATATTTAATGGTTAAAGACTGAATGCTTTGCCCTTAAGATCAGGAACTGGGCAGGGATGTCCACTCTCACCACTCCTATTTTATATCTTACTGGAACCTCTAGCCAGTGTAATAAAAATAATTTGGAAAGGAAGGAATAAAATGGTATCTGTTCACAAACAACTTAACTATCTGCATAGAAAATCCCATAGAATCTACATTAGCACCCCAAAAAATGAAATAGTCAGGTATAAATCTAACATTACATATATAATGTCAGTATGAGGAAAACTAAAAAACTCTGATGAATGAAATCAAAGAACTAAATAAATGGAGGCATATTCCATTATTATGGATAGGGAGACTCAATATTGTCAAGATGTCAGGTCTTCTCAACTTGATCTATAGACTCAGCAATCCCAACCAAAATCAACAAACTGATTCTAAAATTTATAGAAGGCAAAAGACCTAGAATATCTAACACAATACTAAAGGAGAAGAGTAAAGTTGGAGGAATGACACTACCTGACTTCAAGACTTAACTATAAAGTTACAGTAATTAAAACAAAGTGATATAGGTGAAGAGATATAGATAGGAGTGCTGATGCATAGGGGCACATGTACCCCAATGTTCATAGCAACACTTTCTTTTTTTTTTTTTTTACTTTTTTTTTTTAATGTTTTATTTATTTCTAGGGGAGAGAGAGAGAGACAGCATGAGCAGGGGAGGATCAGAGAGAGAGGGAGTCACAGACTGAAACAGGCTCCAGGCTCCAAGCTGGCAGTCAGCACAGAGCCCGACGCGGGGCTCGAACCCATGAACCGCGAGATCATGACCTAAGTGAAAGTCGGACGCTTAACCGACTAAGCCACCCAGGCGCCCCTCATAGCAACACTTTCAACAATAGCCAAATCATGGAAAGAGCCTAAATGTCCATCAAGTGACAAATGGATCAAGAAAATGTGGTTTATATATACAATAAAATACTACACGGCAATGAGAAAGAATGAAATCTGGCCATTTGTAGCATCGTGGATGGAACTTGAGGGTGTTATGCAAAGTGAAATAAGTCAGGCAGAGAAAGGCAGATACCATATGTTTTCACTCATATGTGGAACAGGAGAAACTTAACAGAGGACCATGGGGGAGGGGAAGGGGAAAAAATAGTTAAGGAGAAGGAGGGAGGCAAACCATAAGAGACTCTTAAATACTGAGAACTGAGGGTTGATGGGGGTGAGGGAGAGGGGGAAAGGGGTGATGGGTATGAAGGAGGGCACTTGTTGGGATGAGCACTTGGTGTTATATGGAAACTAACTTGACAATAAACTATAAAAGAAAAAAAAGAAACATTAAAAAAAAGTGATATTGGTGAAAGAAATGCCAAATACATCAGTGGAACAGAGGGCCCAGAAACAGACCCATGTAAATACAGTCAACTTATCTTTGACAAAGGAGCAGGGCGTTATAATAAAGATAGTGTTTTCAACAAATGGTGCAGAAACAACTTGACTCAAACATGAAAAAAAAAAAAAGAATCTAGACACAGACCTTATAAACCTCATAAAAATTAACTCGAAGTGGACTACAGAACTAAATGCAAAACACAAAGCTATAAAACCCCTAGACAACAATATAGGAGAAATCTCAGATATCTTGTGTATGATACAACACTAAAAGTATGATCCATGAAAGAAAAATCTGATGAGCTGGACTTCATTAAAATTAAAAACTTTTGCTTTGCAAAAGACAATGTAAAGAGAATGAGATGACAAACCACAGACTAGGAGAAAAATATTTGCAAATGACACATCTGATTAAAAAAACTGTTATCCCAAATATACAAGGAACTCTTAAAACTCAACAAGAAAACTAACAATCCAATTTTAAAAATGGGTGAAAGATCTTAACAGATGTCTCAGCAAAAATATACAAATGGCAAATAAGCATATGAAAAGATGCTCCACGTCATATATCATCAGGGAATACAAATTAAAACAAGATACCACTACACACCTATTAGAATGGCCAATATGCAGAACACTGACAACACCAAATGCTGGTGAGGATATGGAGCAACAGACACTGTCATTCATTGCTGGTGGGAATGCAAAACAGTATAGCTACTCTGGAAGACAGTTTGGTAGTTTCTTGCAAAACTAAACATACTCTTACCAAATGATCAGCAATTGGAAACCTTGATATTTACCCAACAGAGCTGAAAACTTATGTCCACACAAAAACTTGCACATGGATATTTACAGAAGGTTTATTCATAATTGCCAAAATTTGGAAGCAACCAGGATGTCCTTCTTAGAAATGGATAAAGTATTGTACATCCAGACACTGTAATATTATTCAGCACTAAAAAGAAATGAGCTACCAAGCCATAAAAGATATGGAGGAAACTTAAGTGCATGTTACCAAGTAAAAGAAGCCAATCTGAAAAAGCTACATCCATACTATATAATTTCAATTATATGACATTTTGGAAAAGGCAAAACTATGAAGGCAGTTAAAAGTTGCAAAGGGGAGGAGCTGAACTAAATACGCAGAGCACAGAAGATTTTTAGAGCAGTGAAAATACTCTGTATGATACCATAATGATGGATACATGTCCATAAAATATATAACACCAAGAGTGAACCCTGAGGTCAACTATGGACTTTGAGTGATAATGATGTGTTGATGCAGATTCACTGCAACAAATGTACCACTCTGGTGAGTGACGATGATAGTGGGAGAGACTATGCATGTGGGGGAAAGGGGGCAAATGTGTAATTACTGTATCTTCCCCTCAATTTTGCTATGAACCTAACTAAAACTGCTCTAAAAAATTAAGTCTTCATTTAAAAAAATCAAATAAATGAAGGCATTATTTTAGACATGTACTTCCTTTTCTTACCATGATTCTCAGCTCTCATGTACTTGTTCCTCATTTCCTGCCGCTGATGCACATAGGTCCTCCAGGTCTGGAACATCAGATTGTACAAATAATATCTGAGGATGCAAAAAAAGCAAATGGTATTTCTTTAAACCAAAAATTCTCCTAATTCAATACACCAAATCCATTCTGTACTCAGGAGAAATGAACATGGATGATTCTAATATAAAAAAGCTTTATCTACCTCTTAAGCTAAAATTTCATTTCCCACAATCACAGTGAAACCTATTCTCCTTAATGCAGAGTCATTCTCCTCACCATATAGTATCACTAAAGAAAAATAGGCTTGAATTATCTGAGAATAACTTCACCTTCGGCATTCACAAAGCAGTGAATAACTAATATCTTTATCACCTTAATCATCCATATTATGTAACATTACACCTTTCCTCTGCACTCAAACATGGTCAATGACACTTTTCCTTCTCAAGATATACACTATACCCATTAAGACAGTCAGTCTCAGGGCTCATTTGATTCAGACTCCGACTCTTGATTTTGGTTCAGGTCATGATCTTACAGGAAGTTCAGGAGACTGAGTCCTGCATCAGGCTCTGTACTGAGAGCTCAGAGCCTACCTGGAATTCCCTCTCTTCCTCTCTCTCTGTCCCTTTCCTGTTCATGTACGCACACTCTTTCTCAAAATAAATAAATATATTTTTTTTTAAAACAGAGACTGTCCACCATTCCATATGTTCACTATCTCATTTCCTAAGTTTTTATTTCTTTTTTTTTTAAAGTTTATTTATTTTGAGAGAGACATAGACAGCATGAGCAGGGAATGGCATAGAGAGAGGGAGAGAGAAAATCCCAAGCAGGCTCTGTGTTGACAGCAGGGCTCAAACCCACAAAACCATGAGATCTGAGTCAAAACCAAGAGTCAGATGCTTAACTGACTGAGCCACCAACATGTCCCAACTAAGACTTGATTTCATACTCTACCAGCTTATTACAATGATTCAACACTGTCTATATTTTATCTGAAATATCTATAAATCAGAAACCCTGACCCAAAGAACCTAAAGAAAGAAGTGATTATGAGAGTTAATACTATTTTAAGAAAATACAATATACAACATACATAAACTTTTTATTAGAAAAGGTATGATATAAGGGGTGCCTGGGTGGCTCCGTCAGTTGAGCATGTGACTTTGGCTCAGGTCATGACCTCATGCTTTGTGAGTTCGGGCCCTGCCTCTGGCTTTGTGCTGACAGCTTGGAGCCTAAAGCCTGCTTCAGATCAGATTTGTGTCTCCCTCTTTCTGTCTGCTCCTTCCCTGCTCACGCTCTCTCTTTCAAAACTAAACATTTAAAAAAATGAAAAAAGGTTTCCATATAACACACAGCGATCATCCCCACAAGTGCCCTCCCTCCACCAACCTGACAATAAACTATTGGTTAAAAAAAAAAAAAAACCCAAACAAATAAAAGATAACAAGTGCTGGAGAAAAATAAATAAATAAAATTTTAAAAAATGTATAAAAAATGTGTATTTAATATAATTCCAAGTTTTCCTCTACTTATCCCTTGACCAATTTCAAGACTGAGAGTTTTTCTTTCCCATTTCTGTTTTCTTAATGTCTGATATTGGGCATATAATTTCTCCTGTAATCAATAAAAATTAAATCAACTTATTAGTTTAAAAAACAGAATATTCTGAGAATTAGAAATTACACAGAAGTGTCAGTGAGAAAACACTATTGAAATCATTAACATTACCAATATAAAATGGTAAATTAAAGAGGTGTCTGTGTGTGTGCGCGCCCACATGTACATGTGCTTGGGTTTAATTTAGGACTTTGATCTTGTTTACTCTAAAAAGAATTTGAAGCCAAGAGAATATGACTCAAAACTTTTCTCCAAATCAATGTGATACATCACATTAACAGAATAAAAGAATTATAGGATCATCTTAAAAGACACAGAAAAAGCATTTGACAAAATTCGACAACCATACATCATAAAGACATTTAACAAATTAGGCATAGATCAAACATGTCTCAATATAATAAAGGTCATACATGACAAGCCCACAGCTAACATCATATCCAATAGAGAAAGGCTCCCGTAAGATCAGGAACAAAAGTGTCCACTCTCCCCACTCCTATTCAACATAGTACTGGAAGTCCTAGTCAAAGCAATCAGTCAAAAAAAGTAAAAGGCATCAGAATTAGAAAGGAAGAAGTAAAATTGCCTATTTGCAGACATGATTTTATACATAGAAAATCCTAAAGACTCAACCCCAAAACTATTATATTTAATAAATAAATTCAGTAAGCTTTGCAAGATACAAAATCAACACACACATCAGTAATATTTCTATACATTAACAGTGAATTATCTGAAAAACAAATATATCAATCCACTTACAATACACCGAAAACAATAAAATACTTTGTAATAAATTTAACCAAGGAGATGAGAGATCTCTATTCTGAAAACTACACAACACTGACAAAAGAAATCAAAGAAGATGCAAAGAAACAGAAAGTTAGGGAGGCATGGGTAATTCAGTCAGTTAAGTGTCCAACTCTTGATTTTGGCTCAGGTCAAAATCTCACAGTTCATGAGATTGAGACCTATGTAAGGCTCTGAACTGACAATGCAGAGGCTTCTTGGGATTCTATCTCTCTCTCTATACCTTTCCCCTTTGTGTAATTTAATGTTAATAATAAAATTATTAAAATTATTAAAATACTACCAAAAGCCATCTATAGATTCAGTGTAAGCCTATCAAGATTCCAATGGCATTTCTTTTTTACCGAAAATGCTTTTTTTTTTTTTTTTTTTTTTACAAATAGTTTATTGTCAAGTTGGTTTCCATATAACACCCAGTGCTCATCCCCACAAGTGCCCCCCTCCTTGCCCATCCCCCCCACCCCCCCACATCCATCAGTCCTCAGTTCTTCTCCCCCATGGTCCTCTGTTAAGTTCCTCCTAATCCTCCTATACGTGCAAACATATGATATTTGTCCTTCTCTGCCTGACATATTTCGCTCAGCATAACACCTTCAAGGTCCATCCATGTTGCTACACAAGGCCAGATTTCATTTTTTCTCTCATTGCCATCCAATGGCATTTTCTACAGAAGCAGAACAATCCTAAAATTTCTATAGAATACAAAAGACTCCACATATCCAAAGCAATTCTGAGAAAGAAGAACAAAGCAGGAGGCATCGCACTTCCTGATTTAAAGTTATACTGTAAAGCTATAGTAATCAAAGCATTATGGTACTGGCATGAAAATTGACCAACAGACCAATGGAACAGAATCAAAAGCCCAGAAATAAACCTGAGTATATATGGTCAACTAATATTTGACAAAGGAGCCAAGATTACTCAGTGGAAAAAAGACAATCTTGTCAATAAATGGTGCTGGGAAAACTGGATATTCTTATGTAAAGGAATAATACTAGATACCTATCTTAAACCACTCACAAAAATTAACTCACAGTGAATTAAAGACTTAAATATAAGATCTGAAACCATGAAACTCCTAACAGAAAATATAGGAAAAAAGCACCTTCACATCTTAGAAATTATTTTTTTTGATAGGACACCTAAAGTACAAGCAATGGAATAAACATAAACAAGTGCAACTACATCAAACTAAAAAACTTCCATACAGCAAAAGAAACAGTCAACAAAATGAAAAAGATAGCCTGTAGAATGGGAAAAAATACTTGCGAACCATATATCTGATAAATGGTTAATATCCAAAATATATACAGAACTCATACAACTAAATAGCAAAACCCCCAAATAATCCAACTTAAAAATAGGCAAAGAGATGCCTGGCTCTTGATCTTGCAGTCATTGGTTCAAGCCCTACACTGGGCATGGAGCCTACTTTAAAAAAAAAAGTAGGCAAAGAACTTGAATAGACATTTTTCCAAAGAAGATCTACGAAAGGCCAACAGGTTCACGAAGAAGATGCTCAACATCACTAGTCATCAGGGAAATGAAAAACCATGAGGTATCACCTCACACCTGTTAGCATGACCATCAGAAAGACAGAAGACAACAAATGCTGGTGTGAATGTGGAGACTGTGCAGTGTTGGTGGGACTGTAAATTGCTACAGCCAGTATGAAAAACAATATGGAGGATCCTCAAAAAATTAAAAGTAGAACTACCATATGATCCAGCAACTTTGCTTCTAGGAATATATCCAATGTAAACAAAAACATTAACTTGCAAAGATATCTTCACTCCCATGTTCATAGCAGTATTATTTAGAATAGCCAAGATATGGAAACGATCTAATTGTCCATGATGGATGAATGGATAAAGTTGTGGTCTATACGTACAATAGAATAAAAACCAAAAAAATCCTGCCTTTTGTGACTACATGGATGAAACTTGAGGGCATTATACTGAGTGATTACGTCAAAGACAAATACTGTATGATCTCACTTACCCATGGAATCTAAAAACGAACCAAAAACCTCATAGAAAAGATCAGATTTGTGGTTACCAGAGGCGAGGGTGGGAGAGCAGGGAGAGAAGGAACTGGAGGAAGGTAGTCAAAAGCATAAACTTCCAATTATAAAATACGTAAGTCCTCAGGATGAAATGTACAACAAAGATAACTATAGTTACCACTACTGTATGATATGTATGAAAGTTAAGAGAATAGGGGCGCCTGGGTGGCTTAGTTAGTTGAGTGTCTGGCTTCGGCTCAGGTCATGATCTCACCATTTGTGGGTTCGAGCCTCACGTCGGGCTCGGTGTTGGCAATTCAGAGCCTGAAGTCTGCTTCGGAATCTGTGTCCCCACCACTCTCTGACCCTCCCCTGCTCATGCGGTCTCTCTCTCTCTCAAAAATAGAATAAAAAAACATTAAAAAAATTAAAAAATAAAAAGAAAGTTAAGAGAATAAATCCCAACACTTTTCATTACAACTAAAAAAGGCTTTTTTCTTTTTTTTCCATTTCTTTTTATTGTATCTTTATGAGCTATGGATGTTAACTATACTTATTGTGGTAATCATTTCACAATATATGTAAGTCAAACCTTTATGCTGTATATCTGAAACTCTTATAATTATATATGTCAGTTATACTGCAATAAAACTAGGGAACAAAAAACTTTCTTCTTTTGACCAGAAATATGCCAACAGATAACTATTTCATAATGTGAATCAACAAAATTAAAATAATATAACATGAAACCTGACCTGTAGTGACAGTCTGCTCGAACACAGAGTTTCCATTCTCGCTGGAAAACCCACCACTCTTCTTTCCATTCTTCAAAGAACTTGCATAGTATTCTCTGCTCATAGTAACACCTTTGGCAGTGAACAAAAATCAGAGAAAAATCCATGATGATGTGGGAGCTTGTATTTGTTACCAAATTAGTTTCATAGCACTGTTACTTTCTCACAGAAAAGTGTGTCTCATTATTTGATAACACCAGAAGAGAATAAAAACAGATATTTTTCAGATCAAATATTTAGACATACTTAAACTAGGAAAAAAGTACTTAAACTAGAAAGAAAGCTAAAAATGTTATACTACATATCTTGCCAATTAATGAGGTTAAGGTAAACTAAAAATTGGACTTTTCGGGGCACCTGGGTGGCTCAGTCGGTTAAGCATCCGACTTCAGCTCAGGTCATGATCTCACGGTGCGTGGGTTCCAGCCCCGCATCGGGCTCTGTGCTGACAGCCAGCTCAGAGCCTGGAGCCTGCTTCAGATTCTGTATCTCCCTCTCTCTCTGACCCTTCCTGATCACTCTCTCTCTCTCTCTCAGAAATAAATAAAACTTTAAAAAAAAATTGGACTTTTCAAATACCGTAAGTTGAGGGTTATTCTATTTTTCTTCATCAGACTAAAAAATATTTTCACTTTTATTATTATTTGAATATTTATTTATTTTGGGGACAGCACTAGCAGGGGAGGAGCACAGAGCAGGACAGAGGATCCAAAGAGAGCTCTGTGCTGACAGGCTGACAGCAGCAAGCCTTATATGGGGCTCGAACTCACAAACCACGAGATCATGACCTGAGCCTCAGTCACATGCTTAACCAACTGAGTCACCCAGGAGCCCCTAAAAAATATTTTTAATTAGTAAAAAGTAGTAGTTACACTTCATATTTATGTATTTAGGAGATTAAAAGCTATAAAATAAGCAAATGCTTAATGTTATTCCTAGTACTTAACAAGAACAGAGCATATTAGTTTAGCTGAAATCTAGCCAGAAGAGTTATAAAAATAGCAGAAGATAAGTAGAGGCAATAAAGAGGGGGACAAAGTAATAACAAAGAAAACAAGACCAATGGCAGATTGTGTTGATGCTATAGCAGGCACTGTTGAGGTGACTGATAACTCAAGAACTCTGCCTGTCAGTCACTTTGAATTTATTTTCACGGTTCTGCAGATTATTAACATGTGCTTCCTCCTCACCACTCAGCTTTTAAAAAAGTCACAAAAATATACACAGGGAAATTTACTTCATTCTTGTCCATAATAAAAGAGGATAAAATTCAACAAATGTCCCTCAAAGGAATAGATAGGTTAAATTCAACTAATGTCACTTACTCATTTTTTGTGAAGTGGAGCTGAAGACACTGAAATGAAGAGATGTTCCAGAGAAGTGGTTAGGTGAAAAAATAAAGCTACCTCATACTATGTATGACACCATTTTCTAAAGTTAATTTTTTTAATGTTTATTTATTTTTGAGAGAGAGTGCGAACAAACAGGGGAGGGGCAGAGAGAGGGAGACAAGAGGATCCAAAGCAGGCTCTGAGCTGACACCACAGAGCCTAAGTGGGGCTTGAACTCACAAACCATGAGATCATGACCTAAGACAAAGTTGGACACTTAACTGACTGAGCCACCCAGGCACCTCTTAAGTTACATTTTTTTTTTTTTTGGATTTCCAATACTCCTATGTTAGAATATAATACATACAAATTTGCATATATTTACACATACATAATGTATGCACACACATATATTTGTAGACATACATAAAAACATATATATCTATATGCATGTATCCTGCATACATATATAAATAATTAAACTATACATATTAAAAGCCTCAAAACATCTCCACAATACCAAACTATTACCAGTTGTTCTCTCTCAGGGAGATATGGGAGACTGGTGTTTCCTATTACATGTGTCTATAGTTTAAAAACAAAAGTTTTTTTAATGTTTGTTTATTTTGAGAGAAAGAAAGCATGATTATGGGAAGGGCAGAGAGAGACTCCCAAGCTAACAGTACAGAGCCTGACACGGGACACAATCTCATAAACAGTGAGATTATGACCTGAGATGAATCAAGAGTTGACCCCTTAACTGAATGAGCCACTCTGGTGCCCCTAAAAATTTTTTAAACAATTTTGATAATTTTTTAAAAATTTCATGGAAAAGAACCACTTCCATTTGCACATGTATTTCCTTCTATTATCTACTACTATCCATCTACCTCCTTCTCTTCCCAAACCCCACTAAAATAACAGCATATGTTTCAAAAGGTGTAAGCTCACAAAGACAAAGAATAGGAGCAACAATGATAGACAAGAGATGTCAACAAATTTTAGATGATAGCGCAGGCAACCGAATCAACATATCAGAGAACTGAATCAATATATCCTATCATATCAGAGAAAGCAGAGAAAGAACTAAATATCTTGTCCAGAGGGAGTCAAGAAGCAACCAGCTGGTGGCACAGACCTCAGAGAGGCATGGGAACATGAGGCATCAGGAATGAGGGAGCCCTGGGTGGAGATGAAAACAGGATTGTTTGCAAGCCTGGACATAAGAAGCCTGGGATCCTGTTATTCACCCAAGTAGAGACTTGGATTTATCTCTGGAGAGGCTGAACAGAGGAGCACTAAACTGCAGAATATCAGCAGAGCTCTGGTGAGGATCTTAAACGGAGCATCCATGTACTCAACAGTGATATCCACATTCCCTCTCCTCTGCCTACAGCCAAGCTTATAATCGCCACCACCCACCTCCAAGCCACTACAGCCCAGAAAGAATTTGGAGGATTCCTCCCCTCTGGGGAACACTGATCAACCACCTAAGGGAAAAGGCTTCTGGATAGTGACAGCTGGAGGTTCCCCAGTGAAACTGTCCAGTCTCTACCTCACAAGCCTAAATTAAAAACACATTTTTTTTTAACGTTTATTTATTTTTGAGACAGAGAGAGACAGAGCACAAGCTGGGGAGGGGCAGAGAGAGAGGGAGACACAGAATCTGAAACAAGTTGCAGGATCTGAGCTGTCAGCACAGAGCCTGATGCGGGGCTCGAACCCATGGACCACGAGATCATGTCCTGAGCTGAAGTCAGACGACTAACTGAGCCACCCATGCACCCCCTCACAAGCCTAAATCGAAGCCTTCAATTTATAAGTCACTACACATACATAGAGAAGCTTCCAAAATGAACATTTTAGTGTCTTTTTTTTAATTAAAAAAAATTTTTTTAATGTTTACTTTTTAGAGACAGATCATAAGTGGGGGAGGGGTAGAGAGAGAGGGAGACACAGAATCTGAAGCAGGCTCCAGGCTCTGAGCTGTCAGCACAGAGCCCAATGCAGGGCCTGAATTCAGACTGTGAGATCATGACCTGAGCCGAAGTTGGACGCTCAACTGACTGAGCCACCCAGGCGCCCCAGTGTCTAACTCTTAAATATGAACAATGAAAGAACGTTTTGATATTTTAGGAAAGGCTGGATATGAGACAATGACCAAAGGCACAGAGAAAAAAGGGGTTCAGAAAAAAACAGACTATATGAGCAAAAATCTTAACAAATTGCTACATTAACTTCAAAAGATTATGAACCTACGGGATGCTTTTTTTTTTTTAAAGGAATATTCAGAGAACAAAAAAAGAGATGTTGGGAGTTTTAAATATGACAGCAGAAATTTTTTAAAAATCCATAGATAGATAGCAAAAAGCAATTTGCTTTATAGGCCATAAGGACTATGGCTTTTACTCTCTGCCAGAAGGGAAGCCATCTGAGCAGAGGAGGAACATGATTTGATTTACTCAGAATACCAGTTGCAAAAAGACTGACTGGGGCAGGGCTGGAAACAGGAGACCAGTGAAGTTACTGCAGTCATTTAGGGGGAGACATGATGATGGCTTGGACCAGGGTGGTAGCAACTAGAGGTGCTGAAGAAAGGTGGAGTCTAAATATATTTTGAAAGTTGTGTCAACACAATTTGGGCATTTGGCATTGTAAACTAGGTATGAGAGAGAGATGTCAAAGGTGACTCCCAGGTTTCTGATCCGAGTCCCTGGAAATAATGGGAGTTTCCATTAACAGAGAGGAAGAAGGCTCAGCAGAGAGGTTTGTTGGGATGCTCTAGATTTCAGGTTTGGACATAGTTAAGTTGTGACATCTATTAGATACATAGTGGAACTGTCATGTACACAGCAGTCTGGACAAGGGAGAGGTTTGGGTGGGGTGTATATATTTGGGAATCATCTTGAGAGTTGATGAGATTATCACAATTGTGAGGTACACAGAAGGACAAAGATGTGGCGTAGGGTATTTAGGTGAGGAGGAACCCATAAAAGAAAAATGGAGCAGTCAAAGAGGGAGAAGGGAAGCCATGAGAGGATGGTAACCTGGAAGGTGCAAGAAGAAAGGGCCTCTCAGAGAAGAGAATGACAGACCGTCTTGCGCTTCCTGGTAGGCCATGTAAGAGGAAATTTCAGAATTTACCACTAATTTTGGCAAATGCAATGACCTTAACAAATATAGTTTTGGTGGAGGAATAGAATCTAAAGCCTAGTGGGATGGATTTAAGAGAGATTATAAGACACATTGGAGACACCGAGTCTGGCCAGGGGAGTTGATGTAAAGGGAAGCAAAGATACAGAGTGCTAGCTGCAGGAGGACCTACAATCAGAGAGATTTTACTTTCTTCAGGATGAGAGAAATAAAGGGCATTATATGCTGGTGCAAATGATCCAGTAGAGAGTGAAAATGATAATGCAGAAAAGAGAAAAAAAAATTGCTAGGGCGATGGCCTTGAGTAGGTACAAAGGCAACCGAATGCAGAAACCAAAAATTTTGCTGCAGATGAGAGCAAGAACAGGTCACCGGCTTAACAGTAGGGAAAGCAGTTGCATGGTGATAGATGCTGGTGGGGAGTTGGGTGGATGAGGTGGAGGGAGTTTGTGCAAGTCTCTTCTGTTATTTCTATCAAGAAAATAGGAAGGTTATTAGTAAAGAATGAGGAAGAAATATTGATGAAATACTGTAAGTAAAAATAAATACTACAGGGACACCTAGATGGCTCAGTTGGTTAGGCATCCA